CTTTCGCCCTCTGCGCACGGCACCAATATCAGGGTCCGAAGTCCGGTGCCGTCCCGTTACTGCCTTCTGCCTACGGCCCTCCGCTGCTCTCTTGGACTCTCCCTATCCTTGTCTGGAGCTCAGGGCACCACTCTCTCTCGCCGCACTACCGTTACTACGGGCGAATTCGCCGCGTAACTGATAACTGGTAGGCCACTGTTTGCATGCGTTAACCTTGCTTGCTTTCTAACTTGTGGGGAGTTATTCAACTCCTCACAGTATTCCCCCTAAAAATCAATCGAAGTTAGGTGGCAGTAGAGGCATGGCAGAGCTGCGCCAGAGGACTTCATAGTCTTCACAACTTCTAAAATAATGGTTGCACCGAAATACACATACAAAACTACCACATTCTTTCTAGTACATATTTTCACGATTTGTGGTCGTTAGAGTGGGCGTGGTTCCGATTTAAAAAAAATAAACTTGCGCTGCATGCCAAGTCGCTAGCTTTTACAGTTTCCGAAATCTTGACGTTCATACATACGGACATGGCTAGATCAATAATATATGTAGTTTATATGGTCGGGAACGCTTTCTTCTACCTGTTACATACTTTACAACGCATACAATATACCCTTTTTCTTTACGAGTAACAGGTTTAATAACAAATGCTACATTTTATTCAATTTTCTTAGTATCCCGATTTTTTTATAGGAGTTTTATAACATGGTCGTCCGATTTTAATCAAATTTAAACCATAATTCTAAATTAATAAACAACCACAATAAAGGTAAAAAAACAAGGTATCCGATCTGCCATGTTCCGACTTATATATATACCTGCCAGAGAGACACAACTCTTGGAAAAGTTTCATGCAGAATGCTTTAAAAATGAAAGACTAGTTTTCGTAGAAACGGACGGACGGACATACGGACTCTCCTAGTGATGCTGATCAAGAATATCTATACTTTATAGGGTCGGAAACGTCCCTTTTACTGCGTTACAAGCTGCGTTATAACATCGACCGGATCCGCTCCTTGTTGCCGTAGCGCTCACGATTCGGTAAGCTGCCGTTTTGGGACTCTAGCGGTGAACTGCTGTCCTCTCAACGCATACGCCTTTTGAGACACTTAGTTTAACAAACACGCGTCCTTCCGGGCTAGTCGCTTCAGGACCTTGTACAATTCCTGCAGGACGATCAGGCATACGCCGGAGTTCGCCAATGCAGTCCTTGCAGGCAGGCAGCTAGTTCAAGACCACTTTCCTTCTGAGCCCACGGTTCTTCGTCGAAGGACTCTATTGGTTCAACTCTGTCGGACACGCCGGTGGGATGCCAAGCTCAAATCGCGACAGAAGTTGTGACAAAGCGCCTGGACTTAGCCGTGTGATGCCTGTAAGAACCTCAGCTACCTGTGTCTCAATTCGGAGAGTTTAGTTCCCGAACGTCTTGACGTAGCGATCTTGTTACTTGTGGACTTGGTAGAAATCGACTGATCCAGCTTCCTGCGCTTGGCCTGTTTATATAGGCCTCTGTTTTCCTTTAATTCTCGGTGACTCCTTGCCTCCGGGTCGAAAGTCCACGGTTTTACCGTTCGACCTTTCGCCCTCTGCGCACGGCACCAATATCAGGGTCCGAAGTCCGGTGCCGTCCCGTTACTGCCTTCTGCCCACGGCCCTTCGCTGCTCTCTTGGATTCTCCCTATCCTTGTCTGGTGCTCAGGGCACCACTCTCTCTCGCCGCACTACCGTTACTACGGGCGAATTCGCCGCGTAACTGATAACTGGTAGGCCACTGTTTGCATGCGTTAACTTTGCTTGCTTTCTAACTTGTGGGGAGTTATTCAACTCCTCACAGTATTCCCCCTAAAAATCAATCGAAGTTAGGTGGCAGTAGAGGCATGGCAGAGCTGCGCCAGAGGACTTCATAGTCTTCACAACTTCTAAAATAATGGTTGCACCGAAATACACATACAAAACTACCACATTCTTTCTAGTACATATTTTCACGATTTGTGGTCGTTAGAGTGGGCGTGGTTCCGATTTAAAAAAAATAAACTTGCGCTGCATGCCTAGTCTCTAGCTTTTACAGTTTCCGAAATCTTGACGTTCATACATACGGACATGGCTAGATCAATAATATATGTAGTTTATATGGTCGGGAACGCTTTCTTCTACCTGTTACATACTTTACAACGTATACAATATACCCTTTTTCTTTACGAGTAACAGGTTTAATAACAAATGCTACATTTTATTCAATTTTCTTAGTATCCCGATTTTTTTATAGGAGTTTTATAACATGGTCGTCCGATTTTAATCAAATTTAAACCATAATTCTAAATTAATAAACAACCACAATAAAGGTAAAAAAACAAGGTATCCGATCTGCCATGTTCCGACTTATATATATACCTGCCAGAGAGACACAACTCTTGGAAAAGTTTCATGCAGAATGCTTTAAAAATGAAAGACTAGTTTTCGTAGAAACGGACGGACGGACATACGGACTCTCCTAGTGATGCTGATCAAGAATATCTATACTTTATAGGGTCGGAAACGTCCCTTTTACTGCGTTACAAGCTGCGTTATAACATGGTCGTCCGATTTTAATCAAATTTAAACCATAATTCTAAATTAATAAACAACTACAATAAAGGTAAAAAAACAAGGTATCCGATCTGGCATGTTCCGACTTATATATATACGTGCAAGAGAGAGACAACTCTTGGAAAAGTTTCATGCAGAATGCTTTAAAAATGAAAGACTAGTTTTCGTAGAAACGGACGGACGGACATACGGACTCTCCTAGTGATGCTAATCAAGAATATCTATACTTTATAGGGCCGGAAACGTCCCTTTTACTGCGTTACAAGCTTCTGAATGAAATTTTAAAACTTTCTGCAAGGGTATAAAAAGAGCTCCACGTATGCAAGTGAACAGGCATTACCCTACTACCCTACCATTTTGAAACTTTGTTTGTAGCTGGAAAAGCTAAATGTGCTCCCCTAAAGTTTTGTAACAAGGCTAGGGCTTCAAGCACGCTATTGAGAAACTCGATAGCTGATGGTCATTATATTGCAATTTAAAGATCCGCGTTTTGGGCAGTTTCAAGAACAGTACTGGCCTGGACTTGATTTGACCACAGTCAGTATAAGATGTTTGTAGCACACAGGATATCTAAAATTCTGGAGACAGAAAAAGAAAATGATTAGCGCCCCAATTCCCTTGACCCCAGATGATAAAGCCACAGGATCTTCAAAGTGTCATGAACATGGCCCGCAAACTGTGCAGAGGTCCAACTGGACTTACCTGAACAGACGACTATAAAGAAAAACCCTAGGTTGTCCTGAGAATGGCAATAGACCTTGATCGTTTATCAGTTTTACAGGATATATAAAATTAAAAGAAAGAAAAATTGTCATTTAAAGAGTTGATCAAAGCTAATACGTATTATAAGCACAGCAAAAAATATATTCCAAAGAAATTATCGGTCTCCGGCAAAACTGTTCGATACCCAAAAGTAGTTCAATATATTCCTTAACACCTGGTCTGAATGATTCGACATTCAAAAAATATCCAGAACACAAGTAAAGAACACAGTGCAGAGCCGAGGAAAACACAAAAACAATTTAATTTGACTCAGCTATAAAAAAAACAATGTACTTGTTGTTTTACTTACTTATTTTACTAAAACAACTGTGCTCCATTTGCATAGGCGTGAGCACCCCTGACTTAGAGAAACACTAAAGACCTCTTAGATTGGAAGTAAACACGTGCAATGCTAGCGAATAAGGACATTAAGTGAAAATTTAACTGTCCAGCTAATCCCAGCTCGGGAGGATGAAGGGAAATGTTGATTAAATCGACAATGCGGGTCCTAGAAACTCTAAGGGAGCAGGCAAGAAGAATAGGAACGAAACGTAGTCTACTGATAGAGGCTGAAAATATTATAAGCCGTGGACTTCCACACATTTTTCTATTAGCAACCCGGCCCAGAACCGCTTACCCCAGGCGTGAGTTATAGTGAGAGTTCTCTGCCCGAAAGGGGGGTATTGGGTCCCGATTAGTGGTGACTTCCTTCTTTGTAGAGTAGTTGGTTGTTTGTTAGAATTTAAGTGAGCAAGTGGTAAAGGAAAAAGTTTAACCGTTGGAGTTTAAATTCTAGACTGAAGTGTATATTTTTCAGCGGTGGCCAAAAAGCCGCCGCTGCCGAATGTGTACTTAAATTCTTATATGCTAATACATAAATGCTTATATACTAATACCAAATGAAATAAAAAGTGTTTTTCCTGTGGCGAGGGGTCGGAGTATCCTGTTGCAGTCTCAGCATAACTCAGCGGGGCAACGGCTCAAGTGGGTCGTTTATGAATTGCAACATATTTGATGACCGTAAGTGTGGGTGTGTGTGGCCGCTCGTTCAGCGTATCATTTCTAGGGTAGCTCTGGGAGGTTTGGTAGGGGGCTCGTTGCCTACCGACTGGTCGGTAACTCGCGCTACGAAGTCTACTGATAAAGCAAGCACTCTGAAACGCCTTTTAAAATTTGGGTGTAACTTCGAAAATATTAACCGGATATGAAATTTTCAGTGGGTATTCTTAAACATAACAGTATATGTATAAGCCCTTAATTTGTATGTTTTACTATAACCATAGCCATATGTAACCCCCTTAATAGAATCGATACCTTTCGATCGGTATTTTACTAGTTCCACTATTTATTTATATTACTATTATTACTATTAGTAGTTACCTTCTCACTGCTCTCGTCACTGCTGAATATTAACTGACGAATTTCTATTTCAATTAGTGACCTATTACAATGACATATGGAAATTTATTGCTACCTAAACTTCAACAACAAACCATCATCTATTTGTATCATCGCTCTCATAGGAACAGACAGATTGAAACGAAAATGGATTTTGATGTGCGTTTCCCATCGACTGATGAATGTTATGCATTTCAGCCGTGTTTAATTTTGGAACTGCTACAATGCCAGTACCATTACAAAAAATACATACATAGTTAAATCCGGAGGATGGTTTATTAAATTTCTAATTGTAAAGCATTTCAAACAACGCTTAGTTATGATATTGCTTTAATCGTTAGCTACTTAAGTTTTGAAAAAAGACTGTGGGCAACACAATGATCCAATTCAGCGACATAGTCAAATAATTCTTCCATGCACGTTTCAGTTGTTTTCGATCGCCCATTCACACGATCATTGCACTCCTGGTACTTGTTGTACAAGGATTCAATATGACCTTTAGCCTGGCACTTTTCCTGTTGCATAAGAAAAATAAAACTTTTTTTGTAGTGATAAATTCAAATTAATTACCCTTAGGGCGGCTTGAGGATCAACCAAATCCTCTTCGTCATCGGCTCTAACGACGGGAAGTGAAAACCAGTTACGAAGGGCCATAGTTAATGCTGTAAAAAACAAATTTTATTAACTGAAAATTGAGACAAACTTGAAATAAAAACAAGGGCAAACTATTTTAAACAGCCACTTTAAATTAAATTTTTTTAAATAATAACCCTCAAATATGTCTGTGATGCAACCACAACTTATAATTTGTTAAACGTCCGATTGATTAAGTTGCCAGACTAGCAAAAGAAAACGAAACGAACAATTTATATGTGCGTCAAATTAGCGACGGTCGGTTAGCGACAAAAAGGGAACGGTGGAAATCTGAACACGCAGGTTTATTTATTATGATATGCAACATGTTAAAATGGGAATACCGAATCTTCCTTACTAGTATTAATTGTCTAATATTTTATCCCGGAGGTATTAGATAAAAATCTATTAACAGTGGCTAACAGCTGACTCCATTCAAAAAATGTTAGTTAAACTCAACTGCGGAATTTTAAGAGTTTGTGCACATATACCGGCTTTACCAGCATACAAGTAAATGTTGACCAAGTTTTTGAGAAAATCGCAGTTATGGGAAAATTTGGTATCCTAAGGAGCGCGCTAACTCCAAAACATAAACTAGTCTCTGGAGCTGCGTTGCTAGTATAGTTGTACATATACTGATCTAAGTCCATGAACATGAAAACCCACCTTTTTGTTCTCTCTTACTTGTATGTTTTCAATCAGTAAACAGTGATAAAGGTTGTTCTGCTGAACGCCTATGCTTCATTACGCATTAAATAATTAATATTTTCTTGTTTTGTTTTTTTATTTTTTATTTTTGTATTGTTAACATTCTGATTTATCTGTTTGTTCCAATCGATATTTACACCATCGATAAAGGCTACTAGATATGTAACATGTATTAAGAATAAGTAGTGAACTCTTTTTACGCTCCTTTTTTGTTGATCATGATGGAATAATATTTGAAACATGATAAGTGATCATACACGTTCAGCAAAACTATATCTATATATAAGAAATTCATCTGTGATCATGTTGTTATGCTGAATACGACCATTGCCTCATATCGGCACAACATGATTCCAGAACAAAAAATCTTATACTCGCACTTCATTATAAACACTTTATTAAGCATAATTAAAACATGGAAGAACGCTATATGCCCTCTTCTAATACAGTCCATCCGTTGGAAATGGTTGTAATTTTCAACAAATTTGAAACTCCGGTTTCCGCAGAGCACATCCACCTCCAGATTTCAGCTGATCTGAACAGCAGTGTGTCAAAACGTAAACAGCGTCAACGTCTTTGCTTATGTTTTGATGAGCTACAGCTGTTAAGATCATCTGAAATCGGAAGGTGGAAGGTGGATGTGCTCTGTGGAAACCGGAGTTTCACATATGTTGAAAATTCTAACGGTTTTGCAGGGATGGACTTCGTGGAAAGAGGGTAGGACCGCAGAAACATCGGATAACTATCGCATAAATTTGTCCGTCAAATTTTAACGGCGGCATATGTGGGAAGTAGTTGGAACGGCAAAACTTTATGGACCATCCCTTCAATTGATGGTGGAAGGTTGATGGATCTCTGTAGAAATATGCTACAACTAGTTTAGAAGTTATAGCCACAAAGTTAAGCTGTTTATTGCGATTTCCCGTTAAGTTTTCAAAAAATCGTAGAACAAAGTTTTTTTGTAACGACCTGCCCAACATAAAATTAAAAAATTATTCTAGAATTCGAAAACAAGTCCTAAAAATTGGTTGAAATTGAGAATATATATATATACATTTGTATTTTTTAAATACACTAAAAAAATTATTTTTGGAATATCTTTTGAACGGAGGATCGGATCCAAGCAACAAGTGTAATATTTGACCAAGCTCGGGAATTCCTTTCTCCTTAACCAATAGATTATCCTAAAGTCTTGGTATGCATTTAGCTATACCTTTCAATTGATGTATTACTCGTCACGATCGGACCATCACAGCAGATTTTCAATTCTGCGGCTATGCACACGCTCTTTGTGCGCATCGTCACTTCTGTCGTCCATAGTGATTATAAGTTATTTAGTGTCCGGGCCGGCTGGCTTCTCCTCTGTGGCAGGGGTAGAGCCGGTAGGTGTTATAACAGTAGGGGACTGGCAGTAGGCTACTGCCGCTGGTTGAGGTATTGGTGACCACCTGGTTTGGCAGCCACTGGGGAGTCGGGTGGTCGCTTCGACCCCTTACTTCTTCTGAAGTTATGGTGGGAGATACTTATCTCCGTTGTCACGGCCCTTAGGGCACGATAACCAAATTCAATAATCAAAATCAATTTAACGGCTAAGGCCGGAGTTTTATGACAGAGCTAGTGCTCTTTATTTCAAGTCCAAATTAAAACTAAAACTTAAGATTGAACAAAAGCTCCTGCATAGCCGGCTGCCCGTGGCAGACCGCTGACCTTGCACATTTTGCAGAAGTCATACGATCGCTGTCATCCACTGAAAGGGAGCCACGGCTAGGAGTGGCACAATGTGCTGGCTCAGCTCTAAGGCCAATAAAGTGGACCCAATTTAGGGTGGACTTGCATGAGGGAGAAGTGTAATAATAATAATAATAATAAAAGGTGATTAATACTAGAGAATGATAAACATGATAAATGATTAATATTAATAGAGGAATAAAAACTGGCCTGCTCAGCCTAAGCTGGGAGTTGGTTGTTAACTACTCCCCCCTTAAATTAGACGCCGTCCTCGGCGACAGCCAATTCGTCGATGGATTTTTGTAGCTGGGCTGCCTCTCGTCTGCGCCTGCAGTCTTGTTGGAGCAGGACTAAGCCGCATAGTGTGAGGCTGACGGCAACTCCTGCGGCGAACCAAATCCTCGGGGAACCTCCATCCGACACGTCATCCCGGAGCTCCTGCATTAGACGCAGGTTATGCTCATTCATCCGCTGTAGCAATGGCAGACTCAGTATGTGATCGTGTCCTGTGATGTTAATTAAGGGGGAGGCCGCAATTCCCGGGCTCATATTCACTGAGTGATTGAGGTTCAAATATACGGAGTCGTTGATCACCGCTTTCCTCTCAAAGGTGATAAGGTGGGTCCCAACGAGGGTTACTGTGGGACCGTCATCGATGGTGATCCTCGTCAGTTTCTCATTAACGATAATTACCCCGTCGTCCACAATTGTAAGGGGTTCCAAATTGCTGGGCCGCGTCCGGCATGTAGCCGCTTCACCTGCATGTAATTGCCTGGCGCAGGAGTCGTGGGGCGCTTTTTTGCAAAATGTGGCCAAGTTGGTGGATGTGCAATCGGAGACTGCCAGGATTCCGTCACTACATTCCGCCACGATGTTGTCTTCTATTTGTAGCATCGTGTGGTAGTGCGCGACAGGGAAGAGCAGGACTTTTTTACAAATACGCTTAACTCTAGGTTACTGGACTATAACGTGGACAAGAACATTATTTTGAAGAATTTTAATCCTAGATACATCCATAAGGTTGACTATTGGGACCTCTGTGAGCTGTTCGTCAAAAATAGCCTTTAAGTCATTGTGATTAAAAATAGTAGGATTGATGATATTATTTTTAGCAAGAGTGATAGTGATCATACAATTTTGGATTTCTGATATTAACATTCTATTCCTGGCGAGGAGTGTTTCATACAAATGGCCTGAGTCAACAAGCCCGTCCTTCTTCTCCCTGAGGATCTTGTTTACTGTATCTGTGAGTAGGTTGATGTGTTTCTGTGTCTCTGTGTTAATTATAACCTGTCTATTATTAGCCTCGATAAGCGAAGCTTGGTTGGTGTTGATTCTACTTAAATCGTCCGCGTCGGGTGTACCCGCCACGACCTTAAGGACTGAGCCCAAAAAATCAAGGCTCCTGGCCATTCTATGGTGTATCTTAAGTTCCTCCAATAGGTTTTGCGCATGCTCAACGTCCACTTCCAGCAGCTTCCTCATATGGGACTGTGGGAACAGTTCCAGCACTCCGACTGTGGAGTCGATTATGCTGGCAAACTCGGACAGATTTGCCGAGTGCCTGACCAGGCCGTACTGTTCCCATATTAAGACATTGCCATCTAGCACCGGAATGTATTTAGCGTGCGAGAAATCAGTGATTCTCGCGCTCGCGGTGGACAGCAGTATGATGGATATAATGGCGAGCCTGTGGAATTTAGCAAAGATTGGGTTTTAATATAGGGGCGAATGTGGCGAGTGAAGTGCCTACCTAATGTTGTCCTTATGGACCACCCTCCCCTTAATGAGAACAGATGTTCCCAGATCTGCTTCTACACGCTCTTCTGAATAAAGCGGTGTCAATTTATTCCCTAATCTTTTGTTGTTGCGAAGGTATACTCTTTCACCGACTTCGAAGACTCTGTTTTGCCTGTCTAGCCCTGTCTAAGTTAACCTGTTAACCCTGTCTAGGTTGGATCGTTGTGCTTTGTCAATCTTGGTTTTAATTGCCAGCTTCATCTCATCGCTGCTGGCGTGGATGACCTCTACTGGCTTAGACCCTGTGACTGAATGTAGCGACTTGTTGTATTCTATAGTAGACCTCAATATTAGTTCCACAGTATCCTCAATTTTTTTATCAATTTTGAGGCATCTGGCAATTTCCGCCAGGGTACTGTGAAATCTCTCAACTTGGCCATTGGAGCTACTGTGTAGCGGTGACGCGTTGACAACGTCGATGCTGTATTGGTTTTTCAGCAATGACGTGATTGTCTCCGAATTAAAGGAGGCCTCATTGTCACAGTATATGGTCTTGGTGTTAGAATAAAAGTTTACTAATTGAAGAATAGGTGCTCGTACATCTATTATTGCCCTAGAAATCAAGGGCTGTACGATAGCGAATTTAGAAAATTTATCAATACAAGTTAAGAAATTTTTTTTGTCGGTCGAAAAAATGTCAATATGCAACATTTCCCCAACGTATGATGGGATGGGCGTAGTTCCCAATTCCTGTTTCTTGGGATGGCGGTCGTACTTGGCTTTATTGCAGACCTTACAATTTGCGACCACTTCGCTAGCTAATTTTGACAGTTGTTCATTAGCGTTGGTTATGTCACTGACAAAGGTTTTACAATGCCAGAACTTTGTCGCAGGAAATTCCTGCCTCAAGGCATGTTGGAGCCAGGGTAGGGAAATCGCAGTGAATCGCGTTCACAACGTTGGCGTTGATGATCTCTTTAACGGATTCAACAAGCAAGTCCTTGTTATTAAAATTGATGATATGGCGTGTTCTATTTCCGAAGA